TGAAACTTCGATGGTGTCAACCGCGTGAAACGCGCAGTACCATAGATCCGGTTTGTGTGACGCTAGTACTGTTCTTTGTGAGGATACTACTAGTAGTATCTGTTGCGTCCTCACCATACTACTACTACTAGTGGTAGTAGTAGGACAAGGACTTCTTCTTCTTGTCCTCGACTCCTCCTTGCTGGTGAGTGGTGGTTGAGTCCGTTTAATATAAATGGTAGTAGTACTACTATTATTAGTAGTGGTATCTACTACTTGTAGGCCTACTAGTACTACTACTACTACTAGTACTAGTAAAGGATGTATTGTACTAATACTACTACTACTAGTAGTAGTAGTTTGTTGTATCATGTTGTTCTGGCAGTAGTAGTAGTAGCTCCAAAAGGTGGGGTTGGGGTTGTATGACAGGTTTGTACATTTGGGTGCCAACTCCTCTATAGTAGAAACCACCAAAACACAATATCAGGGGGGAAAATACTACACAGATAATAGTAGTGGTTGAAGCTATTGAACATTGCATCTCTACAAAAAATATTGCGCTTAAATTGACTTACTTGAGGAGTCACCTTTGTGAGGACTTCAATTTGTTTCAACAGGAATTACACAAGAACAACATCAATTGCACGACTCATAAATTCAAAATTGAAATTCTGTCAGAAACCCAAAGTGTCAATTTTACTGTCTTAGAGTGTATGGTAAGAAGATATTCTAACAGCATCAGTAATAGCCAGCAAAATGCTTGTTCAAGAATGCAGTGGCCTTCAATCATCCAATACTATTATATCCTGTTCTAATAAAAAGGATCTAATTTTCAGAAAGGTTCCTGGTGTGCAAAGATATCATTGTATACTACTAATGGGCATTAGTATGATGTATTTGAATGCTGTTGCAGGCCCGAGGGGAGTCCAAATATTAAGACCAATGCTTGTGTTGCTCCTACAACAGGTAACAAATAAATTGAATAAAGGTAGAACCACTGCTGGTTGACTTCTAGTCATTTTCTTACAGACATCAACAAAGTATTGCACCTATAGTTGGSTCCCAAATCTGAAATGTAGTAGTCATGACTTATGGGCCCTGTTTTTTGCGTAATAACTACTTTGACTAAAAAACTTGTTTCTTACTACAGTTTGCAAAGGGGCATGCACTCAAATCTTGTTCCACAAATGAAAGGCTGCAGCCACATCCTTCTCCTCACCAGCTGATTCCTACTTTAACAWATGCTACTACAAGTCTGAATTTTTATCCCAAGAGTAATTACACAGTTAAAAGATGGTCCAAAACTCACACACCATGTTATTTAACTGTATAACTGTTTTAATCTTGATCTGACAGTTTGAGCTGTATTGTGGTCTGCAACAGTCAGGTAAAAGTGATATGCACATGAATCAAGAACAAATTTAAATAAGAAACTAGTCATGACTGGAATAAATAGTAGTTGGGTTTTGAAATATTGAGGAAGGTGYTGTGACTGGAATAAATAATTGGGTTTCAAAATCTTGAAGGTGTCACCATGGCTGGAATAAAAAAATGTTTCAAAATCTTGCTGTCTCCTCAATCAAGTGGAAGTGAATCAAGYCCCCACAACTTTAATTTATAGCTCGTCCTTTACACCAGGGATTCAGAAACTTCCATAGTAGTAGTAGCAATAATATCCACCATTAATTTTCTTTATCAAAACAAAATCATAGAATCTAGTTGCGTTCTTACTTATAAACTTCTTCTTCCGTGAATACTACTAGTACTACTAGTAGTAGTTTGGTTACTAGTAGTAGTAGTAGTAGTAGTACTAGTGGTGGTACTACTATGATTTCCAGCAGCACACCCCCAGAGTTTTGTTGCTGGTGGTGCTACTACTAACAACAACATATCTTCTTCTAGTAGTAAACCACTCAGCTGACCAATCTGCAACTTCCTGATCTGCTTGTTCCATTGGTAATGAAGTTATTCCAGTAAGTTTTTGGCAGGAAAGTGATGCATAGCTCTGTCTGAAGGGTGAGACAGGTCAGTTGAAAAGAGTGATAGCTCCAGTTAGTAAAAAACTGGTGCGTTTTAGTGTACTCATAACCGATTCCAGATTCGTGCCATATTTAACGGTTCGTTGCTCGTACCTTACTGCAAAGAAGAATACGAAACCGTTGCGCATGATCAAACAAACGTTGTACTTGGTGTTAGTAGAAATAGTTCTGTTTTTTCTACCGATACGAGCAGCTGATCCAAAAATTACAGAAAATGATTGGTAGTCGCGCCACGTCCCTTGCTTGAACAGTTATTTTTGAACCTCTATCGCGCTCGACTGATTGGTCATTACTTAAAGGGATCGCGCTTATTTGACTCAGAACAGGCTAAAAACACCTCATGTGATCAAAACGACAAAACGACACCAACCTCTCTTTCCATCTGGATCGGGATACTTAATTTCTTTCGGTGGTGTCTCTGTGTTCATGGTCACAAGATGACGACGATATCTGAAACTGTACCTGCTCATCATTTCTTTGCCCAACGGCACGTTGTGAGCAGTACGGTACGATACTGTACAGCTGTAGAGCCGAACACAAATAGTAACAAGTACTAGTAATATTTTGCCTTCCTCAACCCGGGCCTCAATGCTAGGGTGGAAAACAAAAACTGAGAGAGCGGGTCCTCCTTCGCTATCGTTCGCCTTGTTATCATCTCTCGAGTGCAGCAGACGTGCTCGCACTATACCAGTAGCCTGTGCAATTTCTTCCCTTTCCTACACACGAAATTACGCCGATGGATCAAGAGTGCGCCTGCATATAGTTAAACCTCAAGGCCGAAATGGATCACTCTTCCGGAGACGACGATGACCGTGATCTCCGTCGCGAGCATTCCGATCGGTCGCGTCGAGCGGTTGCACACGGCAGCCGTGACGGAAGCTACGGCGAAGGAAGATCGAACGGACGGAATCCTCCGTACCAATACCAGCACCACAACTACTACCAAAGCTCTCGTGACTACGATACGCGATCCCAATCCTCACAGAAGTCCGACCCAAACAGCGAAACAAGCGCAGGCAGGGGCGAATTCATACACTCCAACCTCTCTACAACGGGATCGGTTGGGTCGCACGGCAGTGGGGGCGGCGACAGCAGGGGCTTTCCCCTCCACGGGCACGTTCACTTTAGAAACCACGCAATAAGCGCTGCCCACCTGCTCAATGGCGATCCCGCACACCAGTTTCCTCCGTCGCTGTACCAGCCGTTGGCGGATGCTCCGAAAAGCGACACCGCAACCGTATGCTCCGGTAGCATGCTGGAAGACATCGAAGACGTGGGCAGTCACTACGACGGAGAAAGCACCACGAGTGGTCAGTTATCTGCTTCGAAGCAGCCTCAGCAGCAGCACCACCACAATTATCCACCTCCTACTGGTGCCATACGACGATCCAATAGCAAGGAAGGGACTCGGTTGGTAGATTTTGCAGAACGCTCCCAAGAGGCCCTGCGAGCCGTCTTTCCGAAGCAGAGCAAATCGGCTGCATATGCTAGCCTTTCACAGGAATCATCACAGTCCCATGCTGGTGCTTCGACTTCTGCTGTTGCGACTGCGAGCGGATCCAACGACGAGGATGCCGTGCAGCACAAAAAAGGTATGGGTCCACCGCTATCCAGGCACTGGCTCTTGCAACAGCACGGGAATTCACCCTTTCGCACCGGATCGGTCAAGTCGATCGGATCCAACACGGGCAGCGACGTTGTTGTGAACGTAGGAAGCGACTGTGGTGGCTCGCTGACGGACGCACAATCCGTGCTCAGCCAAGAAGACACGGCGCTGCTGAGTACCGTCAATTCCGAGATCTCGAGCGACGTGCCGCCCGCGGCGGCGTCTGCGGCATCTGCGGGGAAGAGCGACGCAATCGACGAGGGGGTGCCCCACCCGCTTCTGTGCGATCGCTCGGACGGCAAAACCAACGGGCGCACCAGCCCGGGTGGCACGATATATCGTGGCAGGGGGATACGGCGGTACAAAGGCCGGTTCTACGCGCTTCCACTCAAGCGCTTCCACCAGGACGGGGTTCACCTGCACTCAGACAGCGAACCAGAGAGCGGTGTGGATCGCCAGCAGAAACAGCACGATCGTTGGGACGATCGTTCCGGGAGTGACCTTCGGTTCGGAGGCCAGCGCGGGGGGGAGCGCCACAACTACCACGGGCATGCACCGTCGCGGCGGGATCGCAGCCGGAGCCGAAGCAGGAGTCGCAGCCCTCCTGCGGAAGGTCGCGGAAGGGAAACCCGCAGCAGGAAGATGGATCAAGCGCGCGGATACGCACTGGAAAAAAATAGGGACGACGATGGCTCTTCGTAGGATTCGTTCGTTCCATAATCGTGTTACAGAAAAGGGAACCAGACGACAAAGTGGTTTTTAGGAGCTAAACCTTGTATATAGTATCTTTTAGCCCTATAAGGAAGAAATTCCCATGACGTCTATCTATATCTCTATGCCATATCGTACTCCTCTCTCCCGGAATATAGCCTAGTGTTTCGATTCTCTGGTCTAAGTTCCGTGCTGTGCATTCAACATTTGGTTATGTCGACGATAACACAGCATTTCAAGACCATGACGAATACGACGAAGCAATATCTTCCAGGCGGCGGCGCTCCCGATTCACTAATTGTGCCAGAAACCTAAATCGTTGGTTCGTTGTCGGCAACCCGATCAATACCTGAAAGTCCAGAACAGGGTCCATTCCAAATTCTTTATGCTTTTCCTGAGCTTCTTCGTCCAATCGCTGGATGTCCTTCCTGTCCTCGGGATCGAGTTCCGAGAGGTGAATGGGAAGCTTCAGGATTCCACCTCCCTTGGCGCGGGCCGCGGCTACTAATTTCTCGTTGCGGTCCGCAGACAGCCAGGCCTCGGTTCCCTGGCGGAGCGTCATGCAAACGGACTGCCATTCTTGGGCCATTTCCCACAAAAGAGCTTCTCGGTTCGGATCCCCATCGTATTGTCCGAGCTCCGGAAAATCGCGCATGGCGTTTCCCAGCCGCAACAAGGTGTCCGGAGGAAATTCCTCGCCGCCCAGTTGAAGCTGATAGATGATCTTGATCGTCTGGAGATCTTTTCGTATTGCGTTGTAGCTGTCGTTCCAGCTGCCGCTATCATCGCTCTGATCTTCTTCTGGCAGCTGGCGCACACTGGCCCGAAGATATTCCTTGGACCGAAGAACGCGTTTCTCCTTCCAACCGGAACCGTTTTCGATGCTCTGAATTTCCGCCAGTCCATCCGATTGGCAGGTTAACCGTATTCGCAAGATGTTGCTGATGTCATCGTCACCGCCGTCATTCTCGCCTTGTTCCTCCTTCTCCGTCTCGCTTGGTCCGGGAATCCTTTGCACCTCGGCCTCTACAATTCGCAAGATGTTTGCAATGCTTGCGATCCGACCCGTATCCCTGGCTCGAAGCACTACGCAAAACCGTGCTGGCGGCGACGTAGCTGCAGTCTCATTCTTCGAGAGAAGATTCAAAGCCATTTGGATGTTTTGGGGTTCGACGTTGTACAATGTGTGGTTCACGGTCGATGGGAGATATACGTCGTGAATGGGATAGAGTGGAAGTGTCGCAACTGTTGGATCATTGCTCTGGTGAGTCTCATTGGCTGCGTCGGCTTTCTGCTTGTTCGAAACAGAGTCTTCCAAATCCAACCACGAAAGACGTCGATACTCGTCCGCCTCTTCATCGCGACTGCCTTTCATTTCTTTTTTCCATAGGTTCTCTACGATTCTTTTCTCCCACAGACTCTCCAGAGCAGTGGTTAAGGAAAAATGCGCCGAGAGCAGGGTTCGCGAGGTTTTCCTTGGTCTTTTCATTACGCTACTAGCTATAGTCCATTGTGTTTTCTTCGATGCCTCCCCTCCGACATTGTTACGCCGAAACGCCCTTGGCGAAGAGGAAACCTCGTTGAGCAACTGGAAGGATCTCACAGCATGTGGAGTAGTTGCCACAAGAACACAAAAGAGCAAGAATAGTACTTCGACATAAGTTGACTCGGCCCCTTTTCGCGAAAGATGGCGACCCAGAGTTTTCATTGTAAAACTATAGACAAGTAACGTAACGGGGATTTGATACTGCAGCATCCAATATTTGGGCGAATTTTTGAATTTTGAATGTTTTGCAGAGACACCCGCTTTCGACTTTTTCCAACTCTAGAGTAGATGTTGTGTGAATGTTAACAAGAGGACGATTGATCGCAAACAGATGCCTTCCATCATTTTTGTGCATTCTTCATGCCAGGATTTCCCATCGTTCAAGTAGGTACGGTACGATGCTACAAGATCCGTACAGGGTGCAGAGAGAATCTTCGAAGACGGCCAACGCATACCGGTAGGGATCATACCGTACTGTACGCATGCATGGCTATGTACGTCCCCTTCCGTACTACCGTAGGCTAATAACGCCGCATACTTTTAAGCTTCGCAAGTCGCAAGGCATTTAAAAAAAATCAAATCTTGTTTGAATGCATTATTTGAATGCATTACGTACGAGTACGTACGGTACGTTTCTGGCGGAAGAAAAAAGAAGATACTGTACTGTACAAACAGAATCGGAAATACTTGTACAATTCAGTACAGTACAGTACTATTCTGATTTCCTATCCAATTAGCGTCCCTCTTCTAGGTGACAGAAGAAAAAATTCAAATTCTTTGAAGCATTCCCAAGCAATACCCCTTGTAAATGGGCGATACCCACCATCTCATCATCCCAAGCAATGGAATTCCGCATGCTTTGAATCAATGCGAATGATCGATTCTTTTGCCACCGACGACGACGAAACCATCAATCATCATGGTGGCAATCAAGAGCAAAAGATATGGAAAATATGCATTCTTTGCGAGCCACCTCCCATAACATATCGAAGCGGTCAGGCCGCCCGCTTTCGATTGCTCATGAAGCACTTGAGTGACCACCACCACAATACCCATAAACTGCAGCTCGTTACTGCCGACGCCGTCTCCGCCTCTCCACCATTGCATTGTTTCAACGGTAAAATTCCCATTCATTATACCCTTGGATTTTGTCCCCGCCAGTACAAGACCATGACCCTTTCCTGCGATGCTAGCCTCAAAAGCCTACGGGTGCTCTTTCCATCGCAGCAAAAGTTTGATTTGATCCACGTTTCTTCCCCCGGATTGTTGCTTTTTCCTGCTATTTTGGCGAGCCAGCTTTACCAAATCCCCTTGCTGATGAGCTACCACACGCATCTTCCGATTTACGCCCGATCTTACCTTCCACGTCCGTTCAATGCTCTCGGAGAGATTTTGGCCTGGTTTGGACTTATCATCGTGCATTTCTTTGCAGATTTGACGCTCGTGACGAGTCCTCAGATTGAAGACGAATTTCGAGCGCGGTACAGCACAATGAGGTTTATGTTGCCCTCTAGTATAAATAACATGTCACTCCTAGTTTGGAAAAAAGGCGTCGACACGACAGCATTTCACCCAATTCATCGAGACAGGGAAATGAGGGAAAGAATGATCGGAACTCATGGCAATCCAGATGACTTCTTGATCGTCCACGTCGGTAGGCTAGCGAAAGAGAAGAGACTAAAGGATCTTAGAGGTGTTCTCGAAGAAATAAATACGCGCCGCAACTGGAATCGCAATAGAACTTGTCCCACTATTCGTTTGTGTATCGTTGGAAGTGGTCCAGAAGAAGAAGAATTGCGGAGATATTTCGAGGGAACACCAACAGTGTTCTTGGGGAGGCTCGATGGCAAAGAACTGGGACAAGCATTTGCTTCCGGTGATGTATTTTGTATGCCTAGCGACTCGGAAACACTCGGATTTGTGGTATTGGAAAGCATGGCTTCCGGTGTTCCGTGTGTAGCAGCACGAGCCGGTGGTCCGATCGACTTGATAGAGGACAACGTCACGGGTTATCTTGTTCCCACCGGAGACGTGTCGGCCTTTGCTGATCGCATCGAAGCCATGATGAACGACCAAGAATTGCGCCGGAGACTCTCGCTGGCGGCGCGAAAGGAAATGGAGCGCTGGAGTTGGTATGCGTCGATGGAACAAATTCGAGACCAAGCTTATCCAAAGTGTGTAGAAAACTTTCGGTCCAGACGATTGAGCCAACGGCTGTACCACAGGTTTATGGGACAGGCAAAGAAACCAAAGACATCGTAAACAGAAAGATTATTCACCACATGCCTCTACGAGAAGAACGATTTTTCCTAAAGAAGTTAAGGTGCTTTCGTGAAATTATAGTGTATCATCAAGTCGAATAGTTTGTTGCCATGGAGCGAGGAGAATTCTGTTTCCCATCTCAGCGTTCGCTTCAAAATAGTAACACACTCCTATCCAACCGATGTGGAGGAGTAAGAAACGAATTTCGTTCACTCCGACCAGAATTAGTGCTGGAGACGATGTTATTTTGTTCTTATTCATAGTGGAAATAGTGCTAGAAGCGGTGATGTGCCTCTGCAAATTTCGTGTTACGGACGCCAAATTATTGAGAACAATGAGCCCTGTGACAATCCACCACACTCCTTTTTTAATTACTTGGTCTGTGTGGTAACGCCACCTCATCACAATGTGGAAAATGTAGGGGACAAATTGCAGGGGATATAGTATCAGTGCATACAAGATTACACCGAGCGGTAGACCGATGACGATGAGTGGTAACATCATATGAATTTTATTCAGAAATCTCATCGTATTGTCGATGGCCATCATGCACAAATTCAATTTTGAAGACATTTTTTGATCTGATTTTGATTCGAATGCACGCCTAAAACTCCTGGCTCCGAACACCATTATTCGATGAAGTCCTATCTGAAAATGAGTGAGCAAAAAATGGTTTCCAGGCGGTATTACGTGCATGGCAGATTTTACCATAACACGAGGCTCTTGTTCCATATATGTTGCTCCAAGTGATTGGTTCATTGAAGTCTTGGAGGTGGAATTCAATGCAACATAGTGCAGTTCTCTGTTAAAGTCCAAAATAATCGAGCTGTGGCTGTATGTGGTATAATTTTCGTCACTCGTGAGAGCGAAAAGCGTTGCATCATTCCCCGAAAGATAAGTTAGGGCTCGGATTGTGCATATCCCTGGGACTTTTAGATTTCCATCAAAGTGGATCTTCTTTTCGTCCAGCAAGTCCAATTCGGGTCTCATGAAGTAAACTTCGTCAAAAACGTCTGGGATCACACGAAAGTCGGAATTGGCGAAATCGGCATCGCAATCCCCATCAGTCCCCCTGAGTCTTGCACGTATCTGTTTCAGAACAGAGCCACTCCAAACAAATTTCGACAGTTCCTCCTGGATATTCGATGGAGCCGTCCGGACAAAATAATGATGTGATATAGACGAATTGTAATAATCTTGGTGGTAGGCGCTTTTGATCAAGGAAAGTGCTAGGTTTGAGGCATCAATCTCTAGATGATTATCCATAGCGATCTGAAAGGTAGGAATACACGGTTCATTGATACTCGTACCAATGTTATCATTCACGAGTACTAAACCTGTCCAATTCGCAATCAGCAAAGCAGAGGTAACAACCAACATGAACACGAGCAGTGCAAATCCGCCGTGATGCGAAGGATAAAAATAGTGGTCCATTTCACGCAAAAAAGGGCAGAAAAGTATGATGGATCGTTCAGTTGTTTCAATCTATTGCTCCGCTGCTGCCAGTTTCTATAATTTAAACTAAGGCTGATATGAAATGCGAGATGCGGTGGGATCGATTGACAATGCGATTTGATTGTCAAGATGATGGAAAACAAAATTCCAATTTTCCGCGCTACGGTACACGAGTAGATTTTGCCGCTACGAGTACCCGCGAGTTGAAGGAAGGACCTTCAACCCATTTCCTTGTTTTACAAATTACAAAAACTCATTTCCTTCCATGGTTTTGTTTTTAGTCAATTATAAACTCATTTCCTTGCATTTTGCAATTTTGTAAACCCATTTCCTTGCATTCTCTAATCTCTAAGTAATCAAAACTCTGCCCTTAAACAACAGGAAAAACCAATGCATCAATTAGGAGTTTGATGTTAAACAAGAGGAAACTACCGTACTACTACTACTACTACTACTACTAGTACTGTACAACAAAATATCAATGTTGAAACACATGCCACCAAGACAAGCACCGACCATGGTGCTTCTTAAAATTGATGAAAAATAATGAAAAAGCATGAAAACAGGAGAGATATTGGTTCTTGCACTACTATTGTTTTGCATCCCCCTGTATCATATCAGCTACTCCATATTGTATCGGCTCCTCTGTACTATTGTATCAGCAACTCCTCCTCRWATCAGTGTCCTCCATAGTATTAAGTGTCCTGTTGTTTAACATCAGAATTTTAATTACTTAGAGAATGCAAGGAAATGAGTTTACAAAATTGCAAAATGCAAGGAAATGAGTTTATAATTGACTAAAAACAAAACCATGGAAGGAAATGAGTTTTTGTAATTTGTAAAACAAGGAAATTGGTTCAAGGTCCATGTCCGCGTGTTGAAGGACAGAAGGTAAAAAATATTGAGCAAATTAGCAGAATTCACATCTGATTGAGATGCCATACCTGACATGACACAATCAGATTTCTCTGTCTCATTATTTTCTATTTTATATAGTCAATAGGGTTAAGTTAATTATCAAGGCTAGTAGTACTGGCTTGCTTCTGTGCAAAAGTGAATGTGATATTCCAGTGCACTGTAGCTGATTAGACAAGTCTCTTTCAGACTTCATGAATGGCCATTCATACGTCATAGATATGCTTAGACAATTGTATTGAATCAACATTAAATACAAAAAGAAAGAATCACTCTACTACTACTACTAGCTAACAATGGCCCATAGTAGTAGTAGTAGTAGTAGTAGTAGTAGTAGTAGTAATAGTAGCCAGCACTAGTAGCTAGTAGTAGAGTGTCTAGTAGAAAAACAAGAATCACAGTATAGGTCATCACAGGACAAGAGTAAATGAGTCCATAGCAAGCAGATCCAAGGATCAAGCATAATTTCCAAGCCAATTTGGGGATGGAGAAGAAGAAGCACATCCAAGGATCATGGACACCACTACCGACAAGACAAATGATGCCACCAACAGCAAGGTCATCAACTTCCAGGAGGAGCCAAAGAAGGGGGCAGATGAGACTCCCTTGGATTTAGGACAGACCCTAGATTGAGCAGAAGGCACAAGAAAATCCAAAGCAAAACTCAAAGAATGACCTCCTCTCATAAAAGGAAACTCTAGTAGTAGAGGGATCAAAATGTTTCAACAACAAGGGCAATTTAGAGAGCATAGTGCTAGTAACTGGTGAGGATGGTAACCTCACACAATTCACAAAATTGCAAGAAGAGTGATTATAAACCAGGGGAGGATCCAGGTACATGTCAAAGGTTGGATCATCAATGGAACTTCTGAAACATTTCACAAGGGCGGACTTCATCATACTAAAAGAGCCACAAAAGGAGGACTGGACTGTTGATGGGACTGAGAATGCAGCTGTAATCATGGCAGGCATCAAGAAAATGTATGAAGAAGAGATAAAACTATCCAACGAGTTGTATACAGCATACATATTGACATGGATAAGATGTTTGCAATAGTTCTGGGACAGATTGACAATGGTATAGTAAAAAGAAGCTAAAAAGCTTCGATCGATGTTAGTAGGCAGACAACTAGTCCCACTGGGCACATTTGGATGAAAAAAGAAGAGCCAGCAGAACAAATACTGAGAAATGGGACAGCTGCAAGCACCCAAAGTTTGAACTTGAGCCTCAAGGATTTCAGAAGTGGGATCTACAGCAAGTTCAACAATCTAGAGCTGATGCTACTATTCAAACACCATTTTGAACAGCAACCATCTGGCCTCAAATCAATGGCTATTGTAACACTGGTAGGAAAGAAGGGGACAATTTGATGGAACAGTGCAGCTGGTTCTTCCTTGTTCCTTTATTGATGGTGTTTGTGCTCTTTCAGTCTGTTCTTCATTTGCATGGATCCAGATGAGTCTAGTTACACTTGGACGAATCATTTTAGTACAGTGACACAAGAAAAAATTACAGTAAGAACTGTTCAACTCCTTATATTTTGACTTCCATGATTTCAGAGCCCTCTGGAACCGGTCATGCACTTGCATACCCCTTTATGAATTAATCCCCTAGATAATGGTTGGTTATTTTTGGTGATAAATACCATACTAACCTATGAAGCATTTATTTGGAACAAGTGAAAAATAACCCATGTTTTAGAAGCATTTTTTGTTTTTTGGGTAAAAAGCAGCAGTAGGCAAGCAATAAAAAGTTGTTACTAAGAGGAAAACAACAATTTAAAATACATTAATTGAGGCATTGGGAACGCCAATTTAACATTCCAAATGTTAGCATCATAGGCTATGAAAAAATGAGTAGTGGGGGTTTTGCTTGAATTCAATGTCCTGAATGCTCTGCTTAACAGTCTGAATGCTAGCAGGGGAGGTGTCCTCTTCTTCCTATTTTTTAAGGAAGCAAGACCAATATAATTGGTTTTTGATGCCAGCAAGCTACCAAATGAAGAATGTGGATAATACTAGGATCTACTCAGGCCTACAGTAATATACTAACATTGCATACCCTAAAACAACTTTTGGAATGTTTAGTCATCGTTCCCACTGCCTCAATTAACTACAAGAAGTAGTACGCCCTCATTTCTTGATGTCCTCCCTTGTTTTCCTCTCTTGGTGTCCTATCTTGGAGTACCAATTGTAGTATTGCATGAATATTGTATGGCTTGGTTATAATAGTAGTACTACTAGTGTTGAAGTTGAAAAAAGAATATCATTATGATGATCACTAATCTCAGTAGTTCTCATTACTATAAAGTATGGATTGCAAAAATTTTCTCGCCGTTGTTGTTGTACACTTGGTGCTAGCGGTTGTCTGGATTGGTTGGCTTGTTCTTTTTTTTGTTGTTTTCTACAAGTCTTTCAAAACAGAGTCCAAAAACTGTGAGCTTCCCATTGCGAAGTTTGATGATCGCCTGTGGGATTTGGTGGAAGACGTAGAAGATGCGGACAACAGTCCGGAAGACGAGGACGATCTCTGATGGCGATGGTTCGGACTGCTATTGCTGTGGTTGGTGCTTTTGCTCTTAACGAGACTCTCGACAGATGGGTAGGGCGAGGACGCGGAGAACTCGTATCCGATGCTGCCAGACGAAGGCCGTCGATCTGTGGCGGCTCTCGAAGTAGGAAAGGATTGATGCGAAGGCAATTCCAGGTCGTCGGCTTCTTCGTTCTTTTGATGCTCGATCTGGATTCTGGAGAGGAATTCGCAAGTAGTGGCATTCTTATGGTCATATTCATCATCGGATGCAATGTTGCTGCAAGCATTGCCATCACCATGGTTCCTGCTTCTGTGGAGTAAGGATTCTTCTTGACATGGTGAGTCGTATACAGCTCTTGGGGATTGCGACAGTGTATACAAGTCGTCATCGTCGTCGTAGTTCTGATGACCGGTTTGTATTCTTGACGGAGAAACATTATTCGTAATAGCATTATCGCCGCATCTGTTTTTGCTACACTTAACGCTTGAAGAGGCCTCGCCAGAGATTGTACAGGATTTTCCGAAGATATCATCGAAGTCTTGAAGCTCCTCCATCACAATGCTTTCGAGACTATTATCGCGATCATGACTAGCGCTTCCGGGATATTTGGTTGGTAGCCCTATGGAGGAACTATTGCTCGAAGTGCTAATCGTAGATCCCAACACTGTAGAGCATCCGTTAGCTACCATCGTAGGGACGTGGAGAGGAAGTGGAATCGAGGAAGAGAGCGTCGTTGAAAGATCATGTTCCCCATAACCATCGAGTAAGCTTGTGTTTGCGCTCGTGTACGATTTGCAAGTCCTATCGACGCGATGGCTCGAGAATGGGGACGCAAAGGGATGCATCCCGACGCTATTTGTTGGAAGTTCCCGCTTCGTGGCAACGCCCTTGGCGTCGTCGTTCTTTGAAATGGTGCTACCACCGGGACTAAGTGGGGTGGCGTTATAGTTGTTCGAACTTGCCCCGTGTACGTTGAGCCGGTTTCTGAAGCTAGCCTCCATGCTGTGGGGGATGTTCAAGGATAARAATACAGAACAGAACGTATCGCTACCCTCCTTGAGCCTGCCCCAATGCACTGTTGAAAAGACCGTGGTTACAACGCTTTGGTAGTGTTTGAAACCCACGGTAGGGTTACTGCCAATACCAATTCTATTGATAAATACAGCCAAGGTAGGAGTATCGCGGATTCGTGCACCTCTACTTTGCCTGGGTAAGGGAGACTTCGCTTCGAAATAAATATTTCTAGTAAAATGTTAGCGGTACGTAACAGAAACCGGTTGTACCCTTTTACTGTAATCAAAAGAACAGAAATCGCAGAAATTATGTCGGTACAAATTTTGCGAAAGAAGAGGTACGTCCTCACAACCATGACTACCAGTGGCGTAAGTACCAAGAACTATTGGGACATAAAAGAACCAGTGAATGAGTACCGTACAGTAATACCGCTGAATGCGTACAGCAAAGAATGTCCCTCTATTTGTTAGTACCGCATGCCGTCTACTAGTACGTACGGGTAGTACGCAGTTCTTCGTAATAATTTTTGGCCAGGTCAACCTCTCTTGTTTATCGTCACACCCTATGGGGACCAAAGCATTCTTCTCGTACTCTTGCGAAAAAACAACGTCGTGGTACTCCTCTCTTCGTTACGTTGAACTGTCTTGATCGAGCTACCTATGCCTTCCTTTTTTCACAAGACTGACTCAAAAGGAAGCAAGATACGCACGGCATTTTGTATGCAGATGAAAAACAGTTCATTCTGTACGATACTTATGAGATTATGAGATCAATGAATAACAATATCGATTCAGTGTTACAATGGCGTTGAAGCTATCAGTCTTTTAATGCGATACTATCTCAATTTTTAACCCTTGCCGACGGAAAAATTTTGTCTTCTAAATTTTGATTGGCTTATTCGAATGTCCGTTGGATGTAAAGAATGATGAACGTGATATGTTTCTTCGATACGTTTCTTTTTGTTGAGGTCCCAATATTCTAGAAAAAGGACGACTGAATCAATCGTGATATGCTTCGCTCCCTGTCCTTACGTAATTTCTTTTGTCTCTTCTCACGAATGTCCGTTGAAATTCAACGGTTATCCAAAATTTGGTCGAGATTTTCTGTCCTTAAGAAATTTCATTGGACCGGTATGTACGTACGGCACCCGGTATCGTACGTAGGTAATGTACGCACCTATCGAAAAACAACAATAGAGTAAATAAAAACTGTAATTCTGGTAATACTCCTACGTACAGGTATGGAAAAGAAAGAAAACACGGCACCGTACGGTACGGTACTTGTACTTCAACTAACTTATTATTAACAAGTACGAGTAGAGTATGAGTTCGTATTGAAGTAGGGGCAACTGCACAACTTCAAGCTCGTGGTACTAGATCACGGATCCAATGCTGTACCAACAGGCAATGACTTAGTGTCAGTGCTGACCTGCCATGCGATTTTGGGTGTTTCTTTTCATCCTCTTGTGCCAAGAACATTCCTCAGTCTCTACTAGGTTGGTGGTATTCATCTCCTGACATGTCCTCTGTGTCACATTCATTCCCTGCCCAGGCTTCCAATGCCTCCAACTCTTCCAAAACAGAGGCAACAACCAGCACATTAACATTTGTGTTGATTCCAAGGGAGCKGGGACAGCTCCAATGTCTGCATATCATTCTAGTGTTYGGGGAGGATGTAGTCCTATAATGGCCACAGAGCTTGTCATGCTCCTGCTTGGTGGTGTTGTCAGTGGAAAATGCTACCACAGACTTCATTTTGATGTTGTAAAGCTTCTGATTCCATGGACAATTGTGCCATCAACTATCATGGGAGGACTTGCATGCTTTTGTGAACAACAAAGCAAAGGCATATTGTAGAGGTTATTGACATTGTCTACTGACCAGTTGCTTTTCCCTGGGGGGTAGAAATAAAAAATATATTGTCTCCCAAGCATTGKATCTGGTGGAACTTGGAAAGAAGTTACTGAACATCCCAAGAAGCATCATGTTCAGAGCGCATATGGTTCTGCATCTGCTGTGTCTATCAATTGCAATACCATCCATGTACAAAATTGGAAGTAGCATCTTGTTGTTATTTGGGACAAACTTCTCCGTCAATGTTTCCACCCACCATTCCCTGTGATGGAGTTCGCAAATGAGAGTGTCTTCTGCCAGTCCAGGTTCACAGCAGGGAGAGGTAGTTTTTTTAGGTTGGAGAACAAGAKATTCTCCTCCTTCATTAAAGACACATTGGTAAGAAGAGAATGTAAAGCACATCAGGAGGACCTAGTGTATATTTGGTTGTGACCTATGTTGTTGCTTGAGCACCAATTGATAAGTTGTGCTTCAAAATAATCACCACATAGTTTGGGAGCAACTTCTTTGTAACATTATTCCAAAATATTTTGTTGGGTTCTTATGAGATGCTGCCAACACTCCAGGCAAAACCAGATAACAATAAAGTTTCTACTTCAATAGCACATTTGTAAAGCTCCCTCTCAGCAACTAATGGAATACTGTGGTCTCTCATGATCTTCATAAGTTTTATTATTACTTTTGTTGGAGCAGAAACAAACCTTGTATCAAACAGGGTAGTGATTGTGTTAGCATCCACTATGTCATGTGTGGGTTTGACAGCATTGAAGTTGGGCACATCATCATCAAGATCAGAATCAACAACATTTATTTCAAAATCAATCAGGCTGCTGTCAACTTCTTCCACATAAAGAAGTGAGAGCAGCTTGTAAACCATCATGGAGATTATTGACACTGTATACTGAGTGGTCACTTTTTTCCTGGGGATGGAAATATAGTGTCTCCTAACAAGCATTGGGTCTGGTAGAATGTGTATAATCACTGAATATCCCAAGAGTCATGTTAAGAGGGCATAGGGTTGTGCTTCATTTGCTTGTGACCGACAGTGTTGCTGGACTGCCAATCAATAAGATGTGGTTAAAAACAATCACTGCGSAGTTTGGGAGCTATTTCATAACATTCCTCCAAAACCTTTTGTGGGGTTTGTATTAGATGGTGGTTTCCAGCCCTCCAGGTAAATCTGGGTAAACTCTCGGATTCAATTGCCCATTTGTAAAGCTCCTTTTTGGCAAATRATGGTATATTGTGGTCTCTCATGATCTTCATTAGTTTTATTTTCACTTTGTTGGAGYAGAAACAAACCTAGTTGTAGACAGAAGGGCTGTTATTGTGTTCACATCTGCTATGTTTTGGGTACATTTTACAGAGTTAAATGTGGGCGCGTCATCATCAAGATCAGAATCAACAACATTCATTTCAGAATCAATCAGGCATTGTGTTTTACTGCTGAGCTTCCTTGCCCAGAAATTGTCTCAGAAATGTCAGAGCAAGCTCTGAAATTGGAGCAAGCATTAAAATTGATTGTTTTTATTTCATCAAATGCTTGCTAGTATTTGCTAGCAGATAAACTGTGAAATCTCACTCAATTAACTCAGGTTTTTCTTGTACTCATACTTGTTGCAGCCAAAACCATCCAGCAGATACCTGTTATGAGGACCTATTGTGTTCTCTTTGATAGTGGCAGTACTATGTGTCTGATCCCTGACAAGCACTACCTCCCTGTCAACTCAGGTAGTACTTTGAGTATAATGTATCCACAACAGCTCAAGGAAGCTTTGGTACCTCGGGATATGTGTTCATTTCATACATGCACTTGCCTTAATTTGGTAATGGCAACTGCATGAGGGGGGTGAATGCAAGACTATTCTATGCTCCTTGCAACTATGATATGATACTTGGAAGAGATTGCCTCAGAATGACAGAAATCAATCTCTTCTTCACCAAATAAACCATATATTGGCTGGATACATCATTGAGATGAGGCCACCAGACCATTTCAATGATCCCCAGAACATAGCAAACACTTTGTGGCTGACTGAAGATGATGAACTACTAAATGGATAATTTGAAGAGTTCCATCTCCGAGACCTTCTTGGCAGGACCCCAGTACATCAGTGCTAACATCACACAGCTTCTTGATACAAATACCAAGAAGTCACCCCAAAGCAAGTAGCTGGTCAACAGGAACACATGACTAAGCCTCAATGCCAGGCCTTTCAAGAAGAACTGACCAAATATCACCAAGTACTAGTAGTTGATGGCAAGCTGGGAAGAAGGTACCCACATGAAAAAATCCATGTTGATCTGATCACAGGCGCACATCCCATTTGGAAGAAACCCTATTCAGTTGCCTATAGACACAGGAAAGTGTTCAAGAAGGAATGCCAACACCTAGTGGATGAGGGTGTTATTGCACAGACAATCAATTCCAAGTGGGGATTCCCTGCATTCATCATACCTAAAAAAGATGACAGGGCTCAGTGGCTAGTGGACCTTGGGGAGTTGAACAAGCTTGTTAGAAGACCAAAGTTCTCTCTGCCCAGGATCCCAGACATTATGAACAGAAGACAACAAGGCTACAATTATTTCACCAAGATAGATCTGTCTATGTTGTTCTACTGCCTTGAGCTAGATGAGGAGAGCCAGAAGAGTTGCACCCTCACTACTGGGCATGGCAACTATCTATGGCTCTGACTGCCCATGGGGTTGAAATCATCACCTGACTATGCTCAAGCCTTCATTACTAAGATTCTCCATGATCTAGATGTGGAAGTTAAAATCAATGATATGGGAATTTGGACTTCCAGATGTTTTGAGGATCACATGATGTTTGTGGATTAAATCTTAGAATGCCTAGCATCCAATAGCATGAAATGCAATTATTGGCCCATGGAAAGCAATGATAGGAGACACAGAGGTGAACTTCAATGCACTCATGTGTATTGATCCAGTTACCAACTTACTAGAGATCATCATAATCAACAACAAATCCAGTAAACATGTGGCAGAACAATTTGCCAATTGCTGGTTGAGCCACCAGTACCCCAGACCAAATAGGTGTATTCATGATAATGGGACAGAGTTCTTAGGCGATGAGTTCCTAGACCTACTACTGAACCAGTACGGAGTTAAGAGTGTTCCAAGCACTGTGAAGAACCCTCAGGCTAATGCAGTCTCTGAAAGAGTACACCAAACTATCACCAAACTATTGCTACTAATGTTCYAAGAGCAACCCTACACACCAGGTCTGAAGAGAACATTGAAGACTTCAATGAAGAACAGCTAACTGACAATGCATTGGCCTCTGCAATGCACACCACTAAATGTACAGTCAGCGCTTCCCTGCATACTTCCCCTGGAGCAATGGTGTTTCATTGAGATATGATTATGGCAGACATTCCCCTCATTGCTGATCTTGCCACAATTAGGGATAGACGCCAGCACCTTGTGAATGAGAACTTGAAAAGAGAGAACTAGAAAAGAATCAAGTTTAAGAACCAGGTTGGTCAACAAGCCTACTACATGAAGACTTGTGAACCCAACAAGCTTCCCAGCAAGAGACTACATGGTCCTTCCCAATAGTAGTAGAAATCAACACCAATGGCTCAATTATTGTTCAAAGAAGTGACAATGTACATGGAACAGTAAACATTTGGTAGTAGTTAGTGCCTTACAAGAGAACTGTGAACAACACGACACCACCTCCTCCAGAGGAAACCAAAGAAGAACTCACTGGTGAGGAGCAACAAGATATGCTGATCACGGTTTGAACTAGCAATACTTAGAAGTATTCCTGTGGGGGATAATGCAATAAGTACATKGGCAGAGTACTGAGCATCAGTCATGAAGGACAAGTACTGAGGATCACTTGTGAACTCACTGGACCTATGGTATAGGATCGGAACTACAAGTTAGAATCAATCGTGAGTCCCACCACCAGGGACCTGACCTACATAGGTTCCGGTCTAAACCAAATATACTATCATATATACTACATGTTGTATATGAAAGCATAAAGAATTCTTGTTCACAATGACATCACCTTCTAACAGAAGAATCAGATGCAGAACAAAACTAGTAACAAGTTACCACGTCAACAATGAGTTCTGGTCCAAAGTTCCCCAGTAGAATCACTACCAGGATCTGCAAGGGACCAGAACTACAGAAACTAGTTCCTAATCAGCTAGAACACAAGAGATTATTGAGAAGGAGATCTAGACCTGCATACTATCAGATAATTCTTCTTCATAATTCAGCCCAGTCTAAACACTACTACTAGTATTCTAAATTCATTAGCAGTACTACTAGTAGTAGGTAGTAGTRCACATTATTTCATGCAAACCCCAACAGATCACCACCATGATGTGGCAAACCCCAAGGAGGCAACAAATAGTAATCATTTTGGTTTTTCAAGCCCTAATGGTGCTATTGTCATGATAGGTACTACTAGTACTAGTATTACTACTAGTAATACTGCTGACAGAGTATTTTTGTTTCAAAATAGCAAGTAGTAGAAGTACTACCACAGTATATTTGAATATGCACGTTGTAACAACAAATTTTTGGGCTATCATGGCATAAGAACATTCTCAATAAGTACGATAAGAATATTATGATAAAGCTCTCACTCTTGACTTGCTATAGCCAACCGTCCCCTCTTTATACTATGACTGGTGATAGAGCCCAACTGACAGTAAAATCACATTTTTATGCCAAAATGGACCCTGTTTGAAGAGCTAGTACTAATCCAAGCATGTTACACAATTCACTTAATGCAATCTTCCTTCACAACTCAATACTTCTATAATAGATCTGTTAAGTACAGAAAGAAGCATTCCATTYGCCCAAATATTGACCTCCTTATTGGCTACGATGCACTGGACTTCACTATCTTTATCTTTAGTGCGCGGTAGCCAGTAACCTTGAAGAATTCTTACAGCCCTGCTGGACTTACCGCCGGCCGAGGAAACAAAAAGAAACTTGTTTTTAGTGTGGATTTGTGTAAACCCTGCTGGTATATCATTTTTTGCAAATAAATTAGTACCTTGACCAAAAATACTAGATTATTCATTTTTAACTTAAGCATTCAGTCATTATTGTGACAACAAGTCATTCTAGCAATAACTTAGTTTTTGCATGGTAGTAAGTTTTTTCGGCCGCCGCCATACTTAAAAAAGAACACAATGGCGGCGGCCTACCAATTTCAGTAGTAGAGGTGCTAAAATGACACATAAAGTGGACCGGAGGAAGTATGTTCCAACACCAACTTTTCGGGCCATAATCCATCCACCTCTTGATGGTTTCGGCTCAGAATTGCACCATCAATCGGATCAGTCAAGACGCAAGCGCACAATAAATGTTGCGACCAGCAGCTCAAGTCCAACATGATATCCTTTTCATCAACTTGGAACACAAGGTAGAAAAAGGAGTCACAAACACAACACACGAATGATTGGGGCTGCTATTAGTACATTGATAGAAAGATTGAGGGAACGGAATGGATTCTATCGGTCGCCGGAATCCACCGACTGCGCCTGGTCCTCAGCTGGCCCGCAAGTGTTACAATGTGGATGATGGCAGCAGCGATGGCAGCGATAGTGATAACTCGTCACTAGTCATCCTTTCACCTTCCCGAGRTCATACGAAATCGTTTGACAAAATAAGAGAAAATCCGATTCATTTGACGAGGGATTTTGATCTCGTCCTCGAAACTTCAACTGCTGACACTCCGAACAACTATTGCAAGGACGTCAAGATACCCGCGAAAAAGAAGCCTCCWCAGACAACTGCAACGAAAATTGCCGATGTCGTTTCGAATAAATCGAAAGTTACCTCAGAKGGAAGGGGGACGTTGAATGTTTTGCCTCTACTGGACGAATCCGACACCGGTGATGACTCAGATGATGATAATTTTTTGTTAAGATCGAAACGGAYATTTGGCCCTTCGAAAAAGYWACACTTCAAGGRAAATTCGAAGCAGAAAATGAAGCGAGTGCGTGAGRACCAAAAGGAAAAAGAGAAACAAGACCGTATTCGAAGACGCAAGGAAGTGAAAGAAGCAAAAGAACTTAAAAAACAGAAGGATAAGATAACAAAGAAACGACAAAACGAGGAATATAACCAAGCTACGGGAAAGTATAGTCACGAAGAAATTGCGGTGTTGCTTGACGCGGAATTGTATACAGACAACAGTYATGGGTTGAAGTCGCGTCTATCCGAAGACTTCTTTGTCTACCGATTTCCTAGTCGGCTACCAACACCGGCAAAAGCAATCCAATTCATTCGGAAGGACAAACTTTTGGGTGGTGCGAAAGATGCCGTCTTGTGTCTCGAAGCCGAAAGAACCGGAGGTAGATCTAATTTRGATAATAATCCTGGCTACGAACACATTGAATATCTTGTTGTTCTCTTCGAGCCGGACGAGTTTATTCCATTGCTGCGTCGAGATGCCCATGACGAAGAAGACGATTATCCAGCGCTAGAATCATGGTTGGATACTCTTCGAACACAATGGCAACGAATCTGGAAGCAGAATTGTTTGGAACCAAAAATAATATTCCTCCTTTATGACATGCCGGACGCATTGGACAAGAAATGGCTCGCGTATCGACGCCGCACCCAGAATGTCAGCAGAAACGAGGCCCCTCTACCGACCGTGAAAGAATTGCAAGATGCAATGCAATGGGTACTGGTACAATTCCAGGTGGAATGCATCCTCTGCCCGACTGTCGAACTTCTCCAATCGACTATACACAAAATGGCCAGGGGCTTATGCGAGAAACCCTACGTAAGCCAAGTTACCGAACTCGAGTGCATAAAAAAGATCAAACAGGGGTTTATAGGATCAGACGATCCACTCGAGAAAGCCAAGGATGTATGGCTTCGTCAGCTCCAGCAGATACCCGGATTATCCATAACTAAGGCGCAGCATATTACCGAGCATTTTCCAACCAGCCAATCTTTATGGCAGGCCTATCAGTGGGAGCATTATTACCAGCAGCATGAAGACAATACGTACAACGCAGATGCCGTCTGTTCGTCTCTGCTCGAGGACAAGTTCTCGGCCGACAATAAACGGTATAAGAAACTTTCTGACTCGGTCTACAGAGTTTTGACTTCGAATGATCCAAACGAAATGATCCTCTGATATCTGGAGATTCTTTCCCGCAAGAATGGCAACGATATTAGTTTTTAAAACAAACGCTATTTGGGTCCAAATGTTTGGAAGACAATGTATCATATTTGGGTGTGACATGCAGAGATGGTWATATCATCCTAAGCAATAGATCCATGAAAAATGACACTGAACAAAGGATGAATCGCTTCTGGTGCGAACTTAGACTCTARAACCTGTGGTAAACGGGAGCCAATTCATCGATCGCCAGCTTCTCTTTTTTGAAWGCGGATAGAGKTGTCGTTCTTAAACAACGGCTTCTCTAATTGAAATATCTAGAAAACTCTTCGGTGTCCAGTGATGGTCTATTTGAAAAWGTTTATGAATTGTATGTGCTTTATGTATGTCTATGTCTCGTTTAAAGTAAACGACCCCTGTAACATCACGAAACCCTGAGGAAGTGACGAAGAAAGTATTTTTCCTTTGTCAACCTTCCCTGCTGTTGAACAGTTGGTAGGTACATATAGTACTCCTTTGTTCCCCGAATTGCTACATCCCCATCGAAGCTACAGCGACCCTGTTGTGTTGATTTGAGAAAGAATCGAATCGAACTCATCTGCTGCCATTGCCCTATTTCGATTCATACGTCGTCTCTTCCGACGATCCCTGGGAGATATTGATGATGAASTATTCCCTTCGATGGGCATAGAAAAGTCGGATCCTCCACGTTGTCTCTTAGGTCGCAATGCTCTTGAGGAATTATGTGGGGGATGCAGAGAACTGAAGTTGCTAGGCCCTGTGGCTACAATCTTTCTTATAGTGTATCTTTTGCTCACAATGCTTCTTCGTTGTCCTACTTCAGGAAGTATTGATCCATCGCGAGGAGCTGCCTTGGTTGCCGCGAGCTCATCGGTGTTACATGTTTCTTGCTGCTGCCTTTCTCGTTGCGCAATCATTGACAACGTGGGAAGCATTTCTTGAGTTGATCGGTTCGATGCTCCATCACTTTCCTTAAACAGAGCCTCGAGGCTTAATTGGCAGTTTTGAAGTCGATTTGGTTTCATCCTTCCTAGCGTTCGTTCGTCCTCTGCGCTTAGAGCCATAGGTGACGTCGGAGCAATGCTCACTGCAATCCGTCGCGTCTCAAGCGAGAGAGCCTCAAACGAGATTATGGGATCGCCCTCATCATTCGTGTTTGTCTCTGGTGCAATATCATCGGGATCATCGTACGTTCCGAAGCCGAGAGATGATGCCGAAGATGAAGAACTATACGTCGAGACGCTGCTACTCGCGCTGCTACCAATGGAACCACTGCATACTCTCCGTGTCTCGGGTGATAATTGCGGTGGCGAAACTTTCAGTGATCTTGATGTTTCTTGCGGGATAACACAGCGGGGAGAACACTCCAAGGAGTTATGATCCTTGAATTCTTCAACACGGAGAGGTGGGAGAGAAGGAGTTGTGGTATTTTGTTTCATTTTTCAGCTAAAGCCAAAGTCGACTAATCAATCAATAGCTGTAGTGACCCTTTCGTTGCGTTGGAGAGTTCCAATAGAAATTGTTTTAGCCTTTCCTAGAATGAATATTGCACTTTTCTAGTTTCGGACCAGTAAAAGATGTTTGCAATAGAGCCCTTTCTGATGAGAAACGCTGCAGAAACTTTCAATTGCTTTTGCTATTCTCACTTCAATATCTATCGCTGAAGTGTAATTAAAAAACTTTTCTTCGCTTTTCTTTTTTCCCGTTGTGGTTGTGTTGATTCTACTCCGACGCTGACAAGTTACTCTGATGTTTTAGCAATCTTTTTATGTGATTATTTAGGGTCTTGAGTGTCTTTACCGGAATGTGTATGTGTAATCGCCTTTCGTGGGTGCAAGTTTTCCAACTCCTACAAGGAATTGGAGATCACACCGTTTGTCAAACATTGAGACAGCTTCAAAAGCGAAGAATAATTCGTTCAGGATTATTTTGGTGTTGTCTATCTCATTGTAATATTCAATATAATATTCGTTAATGWATAAATTAATGAAGTCGACTCCGCAGTGTGCCTAGAGGGGCTATGCAAAAGGTGCTCGGAAATAACCTCTTTCAAAAATCACACAAGATCACCAACGCAAAATTGTCCAGATACATGACTACTGCTGAAATTCCTAGGAGTATTACACAAAACATCTGTTGTGCCGTCCAGACTCCTGTATCCAACGTTCGCAGAAAGTATGTAAATTTTTCATCAGGCATAAGCCCCAAAGAGTATGCTGGTCCTCAAGGCGCCACCAATGTCAARATTAGGAGCGAAGCTATTCCTGCTCAAAGGTTTAAAGAGCAATGAAACGGCTGAAAAACGGCACGACAAAATACTATGGAAAATATTACAAAGTAAGACCCAGGCGAAATAAATTGCAGTTGCAGTTTCTTGGTCCTGTTGTTACCTCCCAACGGGCACAAGAATAAGAACGCAAATTCGACGAAACATCAGAATACTAAGTTCTCAATGAGAACCTCTCGGATGTTGACCGATTCGACTCGAAAAAATTTCAAATTTTCCATTTAAAACATTGATTTGCAGTATTTTTGCAGCAATATTTGGTGACCCCCCCCTCCACTTCAAGTTTGTGGTGATTTCATTTATACTGCTAAGGCACAGGATGCACAGGACAATGCCTGGTAGCTCAAGAAGCCCCAGATTCAGAAGTGGCAGGTTGATGGTGCTGGTGCCATATTTTTGCTGACTTCTTAGTAGAACTAGTACTAGTACTAGTACTACTAGTAGGATCATGCACTACTACTAGCCCACCAGCAGATGACATATCACCATCCACAAGCAGCATCATTTGCTGGCTTGGGAAAATAACTCTAGACTGGTGAATTGATCTATCTGCAATAAGCAGTTCCTGKGATTGATGCTGATACTTTTCCTCCCAATGAGAACAACACCAAGGCATCAGATCAAACATTCTTGTTGTTTGTGCTTCAGTCCCAGCAGCACCAGGAAGAGGAGGCCAAAACTAACTACTACTAGTACTACTGCTAGTCCTAGTACTAGCTACTAATCAGTACAGCAATGATGCCTCCTGCCACCACAATGTTCATTGTCACTTCACTCTGCTTCTTGTCTATTCAGCAATTGATGAGATGGTGGAGGAGGAGGAGGGCCCACCACCACCACCACCACCACCACCACCAGAGGAGGCAAGAATTGCTGCAGCAGCTCAAAGAAGAAAGCAAGAACTTCTTGCCTCTACTAGTACTAGTATGCTGGTGGCCTAGTAATACTTAACAAAGTKGGGGAGGAGGCTGCACCACCACTACTACTCCTTGCAGGTATGCAGTGGTTGCTTCTTCTTCTTGTTGTTTGTCTTGTTATTCTTTTGACGAGCAGATTGAGACTCAGTTGTTTTACTGCTCTTTCCACGTCACACAAACCTGTACTATG